CCACCATTGCGCGATGGAGACGCGCCACACGGCGGTAAATCTCTCTCTCTCTTTCAATCGATCTCTCTCGCTTCTTCTTCTCCCGGCGCTTTACGCCTCAAAGAACGGGTTGAAGCGGCGAAAAGCAAATGCTGAGCAAGGTAAGGAGGGAGGGCGAGGCTCTTTACATATTTATGCAGGGTAAGATGAAACTTTGGGCGACGAAATCGGGAAGTTTCCCTCGATCCGGCAAGATATAATCCAGATCCGATATCTCCGCCCACGCGTGCCCACCTTCTCCACATTTAATCGCTGACGGTTATGTCCCATCCATCGACACCACGTCGCGCAAAGAATCGGCAAAGATCCGAGAAGACCGCCTCAAAAGACGCGTCGGGCGTTGTTAGCCGATGGAAGGAAATACCCCACCGATTCCTTCCGAAGCTAAGGAACGGGCACCGAGCCCGCCACGGTCCAGAGGTTCAAGGTGGGCCATTTATGGTATCGACAACCACCTCAGACGACAGAGTCGGGGACAACTATGGGCGAGCCCGTACATGGCCGAGGCCGTGCAAGCGATTGCTTGGGATGCCCCAAGTCGCGTCCGAGACCAAAGCAGGAGTTCTCTAAAGGGATCCCACCGTAGGGAGGCACCGAGCCCCAAGGGCCAATCGAACGCCCCTGCACCCGCTAGAGAAGCCTTCGGTACATTTTGTTGGAGCGCGTCTCGACCACTAGCCGACCCCTATCGAATAATGGGGCACGGGCCTCCACTCGAACTTACCCGATAAAAGCTCACCGAAATGTCACCTTCGCGCCCACCGAGGGTAGCTCGGCATGTTCCACCCTCCTTTCGAGCTTAAAAGGAAGCGCGAGGGTCGCATACAAAAAGCCGAGGAACTCCCGATCGCCCTCTCGCTCCACGCGGAGGATCGAGGGCTCTTCCTGCAACCTTGCCGAGACCCAGCAGCCTAGGCTCGCACGCGAAGGGCTCGGCAAACAACCCTCCTTCCGAGCGAAAGGGATGCGCGAGGGTCATACAAAAAGCCGGGGGACCTCCGACGCTTCTCTCGCACGTGCGGAGGAGGCTCGGGGCTCTTCCGCAAACCTTGCCGAGACCCAAGCAGCCTAGGCTCGCACGCGAAAGGGCTCGCAAACAACCCTCCTTCCGAAGCGAAAAGGATGCACGAGGGTCGTACAAAAAGCCAGGGGAACTCCCGATCGCCTCTCGCGCATGCAGCGGAGGCTCGGGGCTCTTCCTACAAACCTTGCCGAGAAGTACACCCCGAGGATCGAGAAAAACACGACGAAAAAAGGGCACCGAGCCCGCCACGGTCCAGAGGTTCAAGGGGTGGGCTGTTTATGGTCTTGACACATTACCAGACGGGACAGAGTCAGGGGACAACTATGGGCGAGCCCATACATGGCCGAGGCCTGTGCAAGCGATTGCTTGGGATGCCCCGAGTCGTGTCCGAGACCAGCAGGAGTTCTCTAAAGGGATCCCACCGTAGGGAGGCACCGAGCCCCTAGGGCCAATGGAACGCCCCTGCACCCGCTTAGAGAAGCCTTCGGTACTTTTTTTTGGGAGCGTCTCGGACCACTAGCCGACCCCTATCGAATGGGGCACGGGCCTCCACTCGGACTTACCCGATAAAAGCTCACCGGAAATGTCATCGTCATACCACCGAGGGTAGCTCGGCATGTTCCACCCTCCTTCCGAGCGAAAAGGAAGCGCGAGGGTCGCACAAAAAGCCGGGGAACTCCCCGACGCCTCTCGCCCGCTGTGGAGGCTCGGGGGCTCTTCCGCAAACTTGACGAGACCAGCTGGCCTAGGCTCGCACGCTGAAGGGCTCGGCAAACAACCCCTCCTTCCGAGCGAAAAAGGAAGCGAGGGTCGTACAAAAGCCGAAGAACTCCCCGACCGCCTCTCTCGCCCGCATGGAGGCTCGGGGCTCTTCCCGCAAACCTTGTTGAGACCCAATGACCTAGGATCGCACGCAAGGGCTCGGCAGTGCTCGTGGTGCTCCTCCCGCACCCCAAACAAGCGACCCGAGCTCGCTCTCATGGGTCAAGCAACTACGATAGAGCGCCTTACTCAACGAAGAAAAAGCACCTAAAGGAGTAAACTCACTCCTCTAGGGCCTCGGTGGCTACACGGCCGGTGAGCCAGGCCAAGCACTCCACCAGTAATCATGAGTATAAAACAAACCCGACAAAAGCCACCGAGAAACAAAAGTCTCAAAAAACCTCGGGGAGAGTATCCCACACTCCCGCCCGAGGCTCGGGGGCTATTGTCGGATACCAGAAAATGGGGTACCCCAAGCAAAGATCGAGAAACTGCTTAGACCCTAAAAACAGAACCAATGGAATAAACAAACGAGGTCTCGGCCGAAATCTCCGATTCGCCCGAGACCCCGTCGCCGAGCCCCAGCGGAAGCAAACGGTTCTCCGACTCGCCCGAGACCGCCTCGCCGAGGCCCCCGCGTCGAGGCCCCCTCGTCGAGGCCCCCTCGCCCGGGGCCTCGGAAGAAGTGCCGACGATTCGATTCGCATGGCCGGCTCGGCACCAACCCCGTGACCGCCTTTTTGACTAAACTGTTCTGACCGAACGTCACATCCAGGCGCCCAACCACTCCGACAGACGCACGATGGCATAGAACGGCAAAGTGATCGGCTACACGCCGGTCGCGTCAACCCCCTGCCATCTGAGACGACACAGAGCGGGGTTACCGACCATCGTGGTCGCCTAACTCCCCGCACTCAAGGACATCGAACGGGGAGTCGAACGGGTTCTCGTAGCCTCGGAATCGCCGGACCGACCACTCCGTCTCGCCCGAGCCCCTCGACAAGGCCTCGGATTCACCGATCTTACTACGCCGCGCCCGTCCGCCTTGCCCGAGACCCCCTCGGAAGGGCCTCGACGACGAATCGGCCGCGCTCGGCCCGCCCGAGGAGGCCGGGCTCGCCCCACAACCTCGTCGCCTCCGCCTCAAAAGTCTCTCCGGCAGGTGTCACATCCGATTAACGCTTCGGCCGCACCCACTACGTAAGCCACGATCGGCGGAAGCAGGCCGCAACAGAGCGACGGACAACGGTCGATCACCTTTTTTACCATCCCCATCGACAACACAGTATCAGATCCTATAGGCGCATCGTCTCGCACTATTCCGCCTGATGGTCGCCGAGACCCAAGATCCGCACTGGTCACTTCTCGTGCCGCGACGGCAGGCCTCGGCTGACAACAGCCGCAGCACGACAGCCTCCGCGACGACGACCGGCCACGAAGGCCGCCGAGCCTCGCAATCCACCAAGTCAATAAATGCGCAAAAGATGTTACTTGCAAGTGAAGACCATACCGATTAGACATCTACGGAACTCCCACGACAACGCCATGTCGCTCCAGAGTAAATACGCCATCGAATAGTCCTTGCTCCACGTGTAGCTCTCTTATGTACTCCTCGTTTTCTCCCCGCGGCTATAAAAGGAGCGGCCAGGACCGCTTCTGGACGAGAGATAGAATCACAGATATCAAGACGAACAACACACCTCGTTCTGTAATTCATATCACCTCTCCTCACAGAGACCTGGGACGAATTCCCTCTCTCGCCTAGCTTGTAACCCCCTACTACGAGCACCCCGGTGCAAGGAATACAAGAACACCTTCTTAGACTGGACGTAGGGCATCCCTTGCCCGAACCAGTATAAACCTTGTGTCTCTTTGCATCTCCATCCAGAATTGGGAGCACGCAGCACAAATTCACTAGTCGGTTAAGGACCCCCGGTTCCGAAACACCGACAGTAGCGCCACATTGTCAATTAATGGACTAATTAGGTTTAAAAATTTTATCTCGCACAGCAGTCACAATCTGTACACTTAGTTATTTTTTTAGTCTATATTTAATACTCTAGGTATGTATCAAACATACGATGAGATATAGGGAGGAACAGTTAAACGTTTCCAAAGCCCGGCAATTTAATCCACGCCGGGCCGCGCTGGGCCAGGCAGGGAATCGGCCGGGGGGCGACGAGAGATCCATGCCACGCTGCTGGCTGCTGGCTGCTGCTGCCTGTGCCTGGCCAGCATGCATGGTCGGGTGCTGATGCGCTCTACAGTTCCAGGTTGTACCCGTCCAACGTGTTCGCACAGTGCCCAGGCCCCTGGACCAGGACGAAAAGTCCCCCCGGCCGGCCGCGGCCCCCCGACGCCAAGCAGAGCAGAGCGCGTAGTACGTGCCGTCTCCTCCAAAAGCAGCGGCAGAGGAGGGAGCAGAACAGAGCAGAGAGCTGCAGGGTGGACACTGGACTGGTGGCGCCTACCATAGGCTAACAGCTTCGGCAGTCCTGGAGGCCCGTAACCGTAAACCGTTACTACTCTCGCGAGCTGTCTTCCTGGTGTGGTGTCACTCGCCAGATTATTACTGTAACTGCTACGGTTTCTTTTTAAGATTTATTTACCGCTGTTTTTCTCACGTGTGGACAGCCTCACAGAGCAGCTCCCGGCCTCGAGTTTTTGCAGGTGTTGTGGCTTGCTTTTGAGATCAAGTGTTTTCTTGTTGTAAGTGGCACTGGCGTGACAGTAGCGTCCTAATGGTGGCACCGTGGCAGTGGTTCCGTCTTGGTCTTGGCCGTCTGGTCTGGTCTACTCGAGCCAAGCCACTACTTGGTGCCTCGCCATCTGCCAAAACCTTCCATTTCTAGGGTGTTTTGCACATTGCCCGCATGTGTCCATGTCCGGGGCTCAATTCGCAACATGTGGCGGCGTTCCCGGCCCGCCACTGTGCCGGAAAACGACACCTTTCCCTTAGGCCTCACACACAGCGCGCAGTCCACCACTCTGAGTACATAATTACTGCCCCCGTTTACTCGCCAGTCCTCCTCCCGCTGCTCGCTCGCTCCCCCTCGAAACCCCGCTGCGAATTCGGTGGTGTGTGTGTGATGCGGTGACGCCATGGCCGTCTGGCCTATTTCTTCAGTCGCGCTTCAGCTCACGGCTCGCTCCTCCTCCTCTCCTCCTCCCCGCGATGGACAGGCAGCACCGCAATCGGCATCGGCATGAGGACTTGACCGGCGGCGGGCGCGCCGGGGTTCGTGTTCGTCGCGGCGGCGGCGCCGACGGTGGCGCGATGGAGGCGAGCCGGCGCGGGCGGTTCTACCACCACGACGGGCCCGGCGCGGCGGCCGTCCCGGTGGTGGACCAGGCGGACTGCACGGCGCAGATGTGCCGGTCCTGCGTGGCGGTGACGCTGGCGGACGCCATCGCGCTCGGCTGCTGCCCCTGCGCGGTGGTCAGCCTGCTGGGGCTGGCGTTCGTCAAGGCCCCGCTCGCCCTGGCGCGCCGGTGCCTGCGGCGGCTGCGGCGGCGGCGGGGCGAGCTGCGGCACAAGAAGCGGGTGCGCGACGTGGACGGCCCCGCCGCCAAGGCCAAGTGCCGTTGCTCCGACGCGCCGCCGGCGGCCACGGGGCGATGGAGGCGCTGGACGCCGCCGACGCCGCGTCGAAAGGCGCGTGGTGGGGTTTGGAGGTGGACGCTCGCGGAGAGGCGGCCACGCGGGCTGCGAGGGCGAGCAACTCGTCGTCAGCGTCAGGCAGGCTCGACGCGGAGAAGGTGTGGATGGAGATGTACCGGGTGGGGCACTGGGGGTTCGGCCGCCTGTCCATCTCCATGACCCCGCCCCCGGCCGTCAGGCCCGGCCGCAGCCCCGACGGCGACGGCGACGGCGGCAGAAAGGACGTGGACCTGCGGTGCGAGTCGTGACAGGCCATGCCGCCCGCCCGTGCCGTCCGATACGCCGCCGCCGGTCGCTCCGGGGCAATGCCGGAAGTCTGGGAAGCAAGCAGGTCCTCTGACTTTGCACGGTCAAGTCAGAGTACATACATGGTCCGTGCATCGGAGCTCCGAGGAGAATCCGCTCGGGGATGCTTGGATGGAGACGACGCGCCATGATTGGAGCCGGGCATGGGGATCGCTGCTTGATTCGCCCGCCCTGGCGGCAAGTCGTCGTGCCGCGTGCGCCGCGCAGCCCCAGCCAGAACCAGAACACTTCAGACTTCAGTGCACAGCGGCAAACCCGGGAGGGCCTTCTGCAGCTCCGCTCGTGACCAGCTAGTTTCCAAGTGGCCGTGTTCCTTCTTCCATTTGTTTTTTCCTTCTTCTCCATTTGGTTCTGGAAGCCCGACCTGTATTTTTACAAGCTGTACATAATTAATTTGAGCGGTCGAGTTCTTCGATGTTGCTGTAATTTTTTGGGCGATCTCTGACTCTCTGTATATAAACTTGCTTTTCTTTTCCCCCGTAAACACTGTACAATCATTGGCTCGAATCGGATCGTCGGTGTCTGATCACACGGATTGCTTAAAGCCGATCCATGATTCACACTCGACCGCTAACGGCTGTGCAAACTACTACCCCATTTCGCCTGACCACCTGGGCAATTATTATCTTTATTATCTCCCATGTATGACTAAAATGCTCCTCATACGAAATTATTGCCTTCTCTTCCTTGTGTATTTATGTGGTGAAACTGAAACATGGTAGGCACCCACTGTACTTCCCCGCCGGGGTTTGACTTTGACCACCACCTCCTCACGCACGAGTGCTTAGTGCTTACGTCTTCCTTGTGCAGAACAGGACACAAACATGTTTCGTCGTTCATGTCTCTGCGCCATCATCATCCTCACTCGGTCACTCTTGATCAGTCAATCACTCTGTTCGCTTGTTGGTTTCAGCCAACCCAAACCAACCAACCAACAGTGTTTTTCTCTCACAACAAACCAGCACCAGCTAACCCAAACCAGTCCAGAAACCAACCAGCAAACAGACCGAATGGCCGACAACCACCACATGAGCTCTCTGTGCACGCTAAGCGAATGCGAGCTGTCGATAGACTATACTCCTAGAAGCCACCGTCGCCACCAAAAGGACTGCTATCGGTGACACCAACGGAACTATTGGTTATTCAGTTGAAAGTTCGATTTGGTTTGGGACTTCAAGAACTCTCATCCCTAGTCCTCCAACAGTTTAATTGTTTTCGCTTCTAGTCGGAAATGATCTTTTTAACCAAACATGTGATTTATTCTTTTGTTGTAGCTGATCAAAAGATTTGCAGCGGAACCGAAAAGGCCCAAGTTCCATCCTGAAACTATTGGTTGAAAGCTTTCAGTTAGTAGTAAAGGCATAGGCACAGGTCGAGCCCACTTTTTCTGACATGGATGATCTCAGTCGTTGTTTGGTCGAGGGGACGAGAGCATCCTAGTTTCCTGTTTATATACCGACGAGTCATATGAGCTTTATTTTCGTTTTCAAGTGAGTAAAACATGTACCCTCTACCAAGTTTTGGCTACAATTATTTGAATACTGCACTCTCAGTCATGGGCACGTTCTATGACTCTAGATTACAATTTGACGGTCAAGAAACATCACCTGTTCTTCTGGGGGAAAAACAGACGCTGTTTTATAGCAATTCGGAGTGTTAAATCCGTTGTAAATAAAGGACATCAAATCAAAAAAGAAAAGTTTTGATAGGAAAACGTTCAAATACGTCTGTTGGGTCCAGAAGAGAGGAACGACACAATATTGCAGCCCATTAGAAACTTAGGATTCGTCAGAACCAAATGAGCGCTGCCAGTTTGTAGGCTTTGAGAATCTGATTCTACAGGCCGTGCCGTGATGGGCTTGGACCATAGCACGGAAGCTGTGCCTGCGCCCCGAACCTTTGCCGTCACCTGGTCCAGTCCATTCAGAAGGAAACCACGGACCACGGACCACGGTCCAGCCCCCAGAGAGGGCATCTCGGCTTTGGCGGCCCTCGGGGAACAGCTAGAGCTACTTGTTAGATAATTAGGTATTTTTATGGTCAATTTAATCTACAAATAAAACATCAGTAGATCAGTAAGTTCGTAGGCGGACGAGGGTTCCGGAGGCAACTGCTCTCCCGCTACTCCGTGCGCGCAAAGGTACGGGACGGGAAAACCCAAAGAGCGACTGAGATGTGGTCTCTCGGAAGCGAAGCGGAAGCATTGGACTGACGGAGGACTTCTGATTTATACCTGCGGCGAGGAGGGAGAAAGCCAGCGGAGGAACCCAGGAGATGGAGATATGAAGAGACGGTAACAGGCACAATCAATTATCCTCCACCATAAAGGAGAGAAACTCCCGTAATAATGTGGATTAATTGGTAAAAAACTGGCCACGCTCGCCCGCCTCGCCACGGCCTCGGCCTGGCCCGCGCCCACGCCCATGGCCCGGCCGGCGGCGGCGGCGGCGGCGCGTGCGCGTGTGGCACTCCTTTGTCCTTTTCTCAGCTTCTCAATTAAGATGGATAATTTCTAAACAAATAAGCTGAGTAAACGTTCTGTCAAAATCCCCATATGGTATTAAACCATACAACGCTTAATGTTACGTAACATAGAGTTTTATTTGATTTATTAAATATTATACGGGCCAAGCCCATAATATATCCAACAATCCCCACCAAACTTTAGGGTTTGTAACAAAGTAGTCTCAGAACCACATTCCTTTTATATACCAGTGTTTCGATTGAGACTGCTAAGTTGAATATCCATCTAGATCAATAGTTTCACTCAGTCACAACTGAACAATGGACTAAGCCTTGAATTGACAGTTTTATGTGAGATGAATGTCACTAAAGTCCTTAGCTGATACTAGGCAGCAAAAAGCATCCCCTCTATTTGAAGCATATAAGTCATACTCCAGTGCCTTTCATGAATATTTAGAGATCACTCAAATCTCATAGACTGTGACCAGCAGTCTAACTTATATATGTGTGTTCCTCAAAAGATGTTCTGTAGGACAATATCTTTGCTTTAGTAAGGCACTTGAAACACATTAAGGTAAAAATCAACCTACCTTACAGAAAGAAAAGATATGTATCAGAAATAAGTCTTACTAAAGATCTTTCCTCATAATTTACTACTAGCTTGTTTCACCATCATACTTCACGGAATCTCCGATCACATAGAACATGTTACCACTATAGTAAATTTCATATGGGTCTCAAACCCATCTCTCTCGATGCATTTTCTATCATATTGCGTGACAGACTCTTAGTGAACTGATCTGCCAGATTGTTAGACGTGTGAACATTGTCCAACGCTATTACTCCGGAGTTTCTCAATTTTCTGACAGATTTTAGTCGTCTCTTAACATGCCCTGTGGACTTCATGTTATCCTTAGAACTGTTAACCTCCGTAATCATAGTCTGGTTATCACAATTCATAGAAATAGTCGGTTTGAGCTTTTCAACAACCGGTAAATCCATAAGGAGATCACGAAGCCACTCGGCCTCATATCTAGTGGTGTCTAATGCTGTGAGTTCTGCTTTTATTGTAGACTTCGTTAAGATAGTCTGCTTGCAAGACTTCCAGAAAACAGCACCACCTCCAAGCGAAAACATATATCCACTTGTGGCATAAAGCTCATCAATATCAGAAATCCAATTGGCATCACAATAGCCTTCCAGCACCTTCGAATCTCCGGTATAACGAATACCATAGCTCATAGTGCCTTTTAGATAGCGCATCACTCTCTCAAGAGCACGCCAGTGATCATCTCCCGGGTTTGACATAAACCAGCTCAGCTTGCACACAACAAATGAGATGTCAGACCTTCTTGCACTAGCAAGTTACATGAGCAAACCAATGATCTAGGAATATCTCAATTGATCTCTTACTATTCTCCGATTTTTCCCCAATAGCACACTAAGGTCATAAGGTGTAGGAGCAGGTTTATAGTCACTAAACCCAAAGCGACACAGTACATTTTTCACATAGTGGGATTGTAACAAAGTTACCCCACCATCACCTTCCCTTAGAAGCTTGATATTAAGAATAACATCAGCCTCTCTCAAACCTTTCATTTCAAAATTATTAGATAAAAATTACTTCATCTCCTCAATCACTTTGAGGCTGTATCCAAAGATCAGTATGTCATCAACATATAAGCACAAAATAACTCCTTCACCCCCACCATACCGATAGTACACACATTTGTCAGCTTCATTCACAACAAAGCCATCAGATGTTAGAGTTCTGTCGAACTTCTCATGCCACTACTTAGGAGCTTGTTTTAGGCCATATAATGACTTTAATAATTTACACACCTTGCCTTCTTGACCATTTGCTACAAACCCATTCGGCTGATCCATATAGATCTCCTCCTCTAACTCTCCATTTAGGAAAGCTGTCTTAACGTCCATTTGATTAACGATAAGACCATAGGAGGCTGTCAGGGAAAGCAAAACTCGAATTATAGTCAATCGAGCAACCGGTGAATAAGTATCAAAGAAATCCTCACCTTCCTTTTGAGTATAACCCTTGGCCACAAGTCTTGCCTTGTACCTCTCGATAGCACTATCAGGCCTAAGCTTTTTCCTGAACACCCATTTGCACCCTATAGGCTTGCACCCATAGGGACGATCAACAACTTTCCAAGTTCCATTAAACATAATAGAATCCATCTCACTCTATACTGTTTCCTTCCATAAGTCAGCATCGGGAGAGGAATATGCCTCTTCAATGGTCGTTGGTGTGTCATCCATAAGATACACAATATAGTCATCACCAAAAGACTTTGTAGTCCTCTGTCTCTTACTTTTTTTAGTGACTATAGTGTCATCCTCCTCAGGATTTTGCATATAGGGTTTCTCAATTTGTTCTATCGGAGTAAAAGTTTCATGCTCATGAGAAATTATAAATTCATGACCAGTCGTGCTAGGTGCATTTTTCATAGAAAATTTATTCTCAAAAAATATAGCGTCTCTAGATTCCATGATTGATCAACAGTCCTCTCAGGAACAATAGAATTTATAATTAAAAATCTATAACTCACGCTGTGGATAGCATAACCAAGAAAAACATAATCAACAGTCTTTGGTCCAAGCTTTCGCTTTTTGTTTATTGGCACATTCACTTTTGCCAAACAACCCCAAGTTCGCAGGTAAGAGAGGTTTAATCTCTTCTTCTCCTATTTCTCGAATGGTGTAATTTCTTTGTTCTTTGTGGGCACTCTATTCGAGACATGACATGCTGTCAATATAGCCTCACCCCACCATTCCTTAGATAGTCCCGCAGTCTCTAACATGGCATTGACCAAATCAGTTAGAGTGCGGTTCTTTCTCTCTGCAATCCCATTAGACTATGGTGAGTATGGTGGCGTCCTCTCATGAATAATTCCATGCACCGCGCAAAACTCAGAAAATTCATTTGAGAAATATTCTCCCCCGCGATCGGACCACAAACGCTTGATTTTCTTCTCAAATTGATTTTCTACCTCAGCTTTATAGACTTTAAAATAATGCAACGCTTCATCTTTAGTTTTCAATAAATACACGTAGCAAAATCTAGTACATTCATCTATAAATGTCATGAAGTATCGTTTACCGCCTTTAGTCAATTCGCCATTCATTTCACATAAACCAGAATGGACAAGTTCTAATGGTGCCAAGTTCCTCGCCTCAGCAGCCTTATGAGGCTTGCGTGGTTGCTTCGATTGCACATACACACCTGGCACTTATAATCTTTGACTAAGTTAAATTTTGGGATTAAATTCAGATTTGCAAGCTGCATGAGACAACCAAAATTAATGTGACAAAGTCGTGAATGCCATATATTCAACTCATCCGAAACATTAACATTGTTCACTACATTATTACACACATCATTAAGCAAAGATAAGCGGAACAAGCATCCGCAATCATAACCTTTTCCAACAAGTGTTCCATGTCTCGACATAACACATTTATTGGAATCAAGCATAATTTTAAAGTCATTGTGACATATTGGAGAACCGCTAACAAGATTCTTCTTGATAGAGGGGACATGTTGCACGTTCTTAAATATCATCGTCTTTTCCGAAGTAAACTTCAGAACGACCGTACTAGCACCAAGAACACACGCATGCAAACCGTTTCACATCAGCAAGGCTCCAGTCCTGCCGGCCTGATGGGAAGTAAACAAAGAAACATCAGCACACATGAATATTAGCACCGCTATCAGGCGAAAGACAAACTGAAACATCCTCAATTTTCCTTGAAGGGAAAATCCACAGAATGAATTTTAATATGATAAAACCAAGAACTGATTCCATCATATTATCATATTTCAGTCGATGTCACAGTCATACATCGTAAGATT